ATCTTTTATCATAAATAAACTAAACACAAAATTAAATGATTGTATAAATTTTAATATATAATTAGAGAAAAATAGGAATTGGAGAGATAGAGCAGGGCACATTGGACAAGTGAAAAGGATTGGGGGAAGATATTATTAGAGAAAGTCAAAATTTTTTATTAATTTAATTTACTATAATTTTGTAATTTAGTTTTTTATGGGGCAAAATTGAAAAAAAAAATTAAAAATAAAACCCAAGTGGGGTCACTTGGGGTGGGTTCGCCTTTGCGAACCACTATAAAAACCTTTCTTGTAAATCTTTTATTTATATTTCATCGAACATTTATCATCTCAGCACCATAAACACTTCTCATGAATCATTCATATGTAATTTCTAAGAATAGATTAGCACTTTACACATGCAAGTCGTCGGTGTCAAAATCACGCATTATATATATATATGGATGCCACACCATTATTTTAATCTCCATGCATATATCTATTCATCATTCGTATGGATCTCTCTTTCATATTTTTGGAATGGAATTATTGGGTGGTTCCCCTGGAAATTAAATTCAAATGTTCATGATGTTATAGGGCCCTCGATTATCAACTTTATTGATCGAATAATTTCATATGGCGATGATGCTCGTAACAGTAGCCCCCACGACCAACTTAATGGGAGAAGTTTCTCACATGGTGTGCCTCTGCCAACTCCATTGCCGATGACATGCTTTTCTCTTGTATGTTTCGATTTCGATCCGTTTCTCCTCATTCAGGCTTTCAAACCAGTTCTTTATTATTATTCGTCATCATCATGCTTACTTCAATAATAATTTAAACTGCCATATAGGGAGACATCTTTACATATAATTAAAATGTTAATAATAAACTACGAAGAAGCGTTCATCTCCGACTTGGTATTTTAATCCTTTTGGTTACATTCTTTCAAATGTGAATACACGTAAGTATTATTCTTTTTAGATAGTAGGCAGCCGAAACAGGAACATTCCTTATATGTTATTCATCGTTCTGGAATCAATATATAATAGTAAAAGATAAGCTTCAGCTAAGGATTAGACATTAGAGTATGGTTTTCTTTGTTTCAAGGATCAAACTTTTTGTGTTTCCATGTTATAATAATATTATAGTATCAGTAGTGACAATCATTCTAGATTTCATTTAGATGGTTTAATTGGAGTAAGTGGTGGAAAAAAGATTACAAGAGGACAAAGGAAACAAAGAAGTGTTATCTGGGGAGGTTCTTAACTTCTTCCAAATTCCAATATCTCTAATGAGTTAGATAGGAATCACCATTATTGAAACTTATCATTATCATGGGCTAATTTCAAGGCTTTTCAACCATAAGGTCAAGAATGATGTTCTGTTCTAATTTTTAATTTGATAAAGTTCCCATTTCGGTAAATTCTTCAATGGTATAATGAATAATATGCATGGCTTTTTTTATTGGCAAAGCTGCCGGAGCAAGTTAAATCAAAATGAATGAATGAATTATTAATATTATGATCATCAAGTTCATGAATCTTTGTCATCCATGTTGTCATGATTTTAACTCTGTTGCCATCATTTTACACATGGATGAGGTAAACATATTGCACGATCAGCATAATTGAAAGTCAATTTCATAATAAAAAACAAAGAATTATTGAGCATATTTAATTAATCTCTTGCAATAACAAAAAGAGATGGGAGTAAGCATGTCATATGAACCAAATCAAGAATCCACTATATTAACCCCAAGAGGTTAGCTTAGCAGTCAAAGAGGTTTATTATCCATTCCTTGATTTTCTCAGTCAAAACCTTGTGGTCGCCTACCAATAAAATTGTGACTTATTACCTTTGTGTTTGTAGAGTGTTTAATAAACCCTAAAGATTAGTTAAAGTGCATGCAAGTTAGCTCGGATACCCCGATTACCAAAAAAAAAAAAAATCCACTATATTTCTACACTAACAACGATGCTACATATAACTCATTTTAATATTGTCAAAGTGCACATAAGCATTTGTCACTGAACATTGATATTTCCGTATATATGTTTACTGCCTACTAATTGATGAAATTAATTTTCAAAATTAAGTTAAAACACATGAAAGTATATGTATATGGAGCTTAATGCCCTTGCCTTGTGCGTACCCATTAGATCTGATTTATTAAGGCTAACTGGTGGCTCTCAACGACTCTGAAAATTCACAAATTTGTGTTGATATAGACACTCTAACCATGGGAACCTTTTCAATAATATTTTAATTCTTAATTATATGATCAAAGGATTTACTTGACCATTTCAAAAGTTTTATATATAAATTAAGAAAAAGTAGAAGCATTTTTAGAATAGCTTATTTGCATGTATGAAGTTAGATAATAGCACTTGGACAAATGAGATGTTTACAATGGTCGAATTTAATTTAGAAAAGGAGTATTATCACTTACCTCCTCTGAGGTTTCCATAAATTGTCAGTTGCATCCCTGTGGGCTGTGGTATAAGAAACTTTATGGGACCTCCCTTCACATTTGAATAAATTGTTACTTACCTCCCTCATCTCCATTTTTCTAAATGTCAACTGTTAAGTCAAGGGGCAAAGTTGTAACTATAGATTTTTAACACAAAATAGAATTACAAAATAATTTAAAAAATCTGAAAAGATTTTAAAAAACTGAACAATTGAAATTAAAAATCTGAAAATTTTATAAAATAATTGTTGTGTGTGATTTTTCTTTCAAGCTCAAAGATCAACAAGGTTATAGCCCGATTCAAAATCAGCTCGACTCAACCGATTATCTGACCCAGCAAAAGCTTGTCAAGATGTAGCTAGACCCCAGCATAAGCTAGTCGCGACCAATCTCGATAGTTGCTCAACCAGCTCACAGATAACCTCAGATCCAGGAGAAATCAGATTGACAATAATCTTGGCGCAATCTTAGTGCTCAACCGCGAGAATATCGGAGTTGCATTTCAATCCTAATTGTAATCCTTTTATTTTCGCTCTTTCTTTTGTACAAAATCTGTACATAAACCCTTCCAATTTTGAGAAAGAAGTTAGCAAATTATTTTAAGATTAGTATTGTAAGCTCTCATAGCAAATACAAAAAGAATGGATGTAGGCTTAAGAGTATAACTCATCGAACCACTTTAAAAACTCTTTATGTCATTTACTTTGCTGCTTTTGATTCATTATATTGCTAGTTATCAGTAATCACGCACACATCAATTTTGATTCCGTTAAGATCAATTGGATCGCTCTGGTTAGTGCAAAATCTTGTATCAACAATAATTAATATGAAAAATTGAAATAAAAAATTCTGAAATTTTGAAATAAAAATTCTGAAAAATAGAAATAATTTTTTTGAACAATTGAAATAAAAATAATAATAAAAAAAAAACTGAACAATTAAAAAAAAGATATGAAAGTTTCTGAAAATTTGAAATTAAAAATCTTAAATTTTTCTCTAAAAAATTAGTATGAAAAATTGAAATAAAAAATCTGAAAAATTGTTGTTTTTTTTTAATAATTTTCAATATTGTATGTAATTTGTTTTTATATTTTATTTAACAATATCTGGAGATATTTGGTTTTTTAAACAAAAACTTTTAAAAAACTTAATTTGTCAAGGTCAAATATGTAACAGAACATATTTGACCTGAGGGTGGGTAACGATATTACTCCTTAGAAAAATAACTATAAATATCTTATAGTTAATTATACCTATCTATAGAATGGAAGTCAAAAAGTATTCGGTTCGTCATCAGAGGCACTACACACATGAAACATATTACACCTCGGTTGACTGCACACATGATTTTCTCCACACGAAATGTGTCTCATGTTTTATTTATTTATTTTTTTTTTTTTCCGTTGATGGGAGATATCGGATCAGCTTACATGTAACTCAACTAATATATTGAGACTTTAAAATTGATAATCGAAAAAATCCTCTTAGTGGTCACCTCTATTAATAACTTAGGTGAATCAAACTCAAGACCTCTTAAATAATACACTTAAAAATCCTTATTAACCGTTGAATCACTTAATGGCGGTTAATTTTTTTCTTTATTTCTTTCGATTTACTCTCTTTTGATGACTAGGATGAATTGATTAAGTGTTAATTAATTACTTGGAAGTTTGCGAACTACAGCATGATAACACCAGATGTCTAAATTCTAATTGTGTAATCTCATATGAGGAATATATTCAAATTTTAAGTATTTGGTTATATAAAGATGAAATAATATTCAATACAACATGCCGATTATATCAATTAAAATCGTTAAACCTGGTAGTTAAAAAGGTAACCTTCCCCAGTGAAAATAAGGTATCTCTATAGAGTCAGAAAGATGTTATCTTACCACAAATTGAAAATCTTTTTGCTTTGTTTATCAAATTCTTTAGGTTCGTAAGGTATTCAATATACTTCAATGATTAGTTAAGATACACGTAAACTGGTCCAAACACTCCGTTTACCAATATATATATAGTTAATCAATCATTCAGGATTCCTAAACACCACAAAGTGTTTGTTTGGTACAAATCCTGAGTAATTAAGTAGTAATTAAAGAACAATTTGATTAAAAGTTAATCAAGTAGCAAACAGCTAGTTTTCGCACTTTTAAATTCTAATGTGAAGTTGGCACCATATGCCTATCCAACTCCCAAAAGTTGCTAATTACAAATTCAGCATATCTTCCCAAAATCCCCCCCAACTCAATCAATGAACTACCACGCATTTCCAGCCAATAAGAACAAGCCAAGTTTACTAAACGCCACTAATCATAGGTAGATTAATTCCTCTTCGAAATCTTACTGTTACAGTTAAAAGGTGGATAGCCAGAGGTCAAAGAAGCTGACTACAATACACGTTTTCACTATTCACACATTTGTGTCAATGGGTCCCTTCAGAATTTTTTGATTGGATTTTCTTCCACTCACTCTCATTCTCCCCATGTCACCTAATGCTATAAATAGCCAAGTTCGCTTACCTTATTGTCACCAAATACCCAACTCTGAAACGCCATTAATACATGCTGATACCTCCAAATTCTGTCTCTTATCTCCTTCACTATCAAGATAAATACGTCACCAGCTCCAAACTTAGCTACTTTCTTGCAGCATTGCTCCTAGACAACCGACACTTTTCTCTATATATCACTAGAGCGAGCTTATAGTATATAATTTTTGTCTTTATATTATAAGTAGTGATATTTTCTGGAGTTCAAAGTATGGGTAACGCAGATTATGAATGCCCACATCGTGTTGCAATTCCTCCGTCGAAACCATTTTTGAAGTCACTAAAGTCCGGTCTCAAAGAGACTTTTTTCCCTGATGACCCTTTTAGGCAATTCAAAAACCAACCGGCGTCTAGGAAGTTTCTATTAGGATTACAGTACTTTGTGCCGATTCTTGAATGGGCACCTCGCTACACTTTTGAGTTCTTCAAATCTGATCTTATTTCTGGAGTTACTATTGCCAGCCTTGCTGTTCCTCAAGGGATAAGTTATGCAAGCTTGGCCAACTTACCACCAATTATCGGATTATGTAAGTTTCGTTAATTGTTCCTCTTATCTTTAAATAAAGATAGTATATTTAATCTGTTATATGACGAATAATATTATGTGCTCTGGAAATGCAGATTCGAGCTTTGTTCCACCATTGGTATATGCCATGATGGGCAGCTCCAGAGATTTGGCAGTGGGTACGGTGGCGGTTGCATCACTTTTAATAGCTTCTATGTTAGGGAGGGAAGTTAGTCCTACTGAGAACCCTAAGCTTTATGTTCAACTAGCTCTCACTGCTACTTTCTTCGCCGGAGTTTTCCAAGCCGCCCTGGGCTTTTTAAGGTCAGTTTCTTCAACATGTATATTATCTTTTCCTTTCTGAAAGTCCAACTAAATTTAAATTGCATGAATTTTGTCCTGTATAATGTATAATACGTTAACTTCTTTGGTTTTTTTTTTTTTTGGGGGGGGGTGGGTGATGAATAATTACAGGCTTGGTTTCATAGTGGACTTTCTATCACATGCAACAATAGTGGGCTTCATGGCTGGAGCCGCCACAGTTGTCTGTCTTCAGCAACTCAAAGGAATCCTTGGACTGGTTCGCTTCACTCATGCCACTGATCTTGTATCAGTTATGCGCTCCGTTTTTAGCCAAACACACCAGGTTAATTAGCTTGATTAACTTTGTGTTAATTATTAACCAGCTGATCAATCAAAATGCATGTTCTTCTCCTTTTTTAAAGAATTTAATGTAATGTTTGGTGGTTTGGTTGCAGTGGAGATGGGAGAGTGGCGTCTTGGGGTGTTGTTTCCTTTTCTTCCTTCTCCTCACAAGATATTTCGTAAGTGGATCCCATGCATGCTAATTAATTTAAAAAAAAAAAAAAAACCTTTTTCCATTTCATAATTTTAATTCAAGTTTAATTATCCTATATTTAGGACGAAAAGTTAAAGAAGAAAGAAGAAAGAAATATCATTGTTTGTGCGTTGAAATTTCATGTCATTTAACCACTCTTAGCTTCTTGCTGTCGAAGTTGATCATGAAATATCAACACCATTACCAATAAAATTTCATCACAAAACTTGTGAAATGGGTTTCTTTAAATTAAAGCTTATTGTCTCGTCTCGTGCAATCAATCTAATATTGACCCTGCAATCTCAAGGTCTGTACTGTTGACAATAAGATTCTAAAAAAAGAAAAAAAAAATACATTAGCTTTGACAATATGCTCACCTGCCTCCGCTAATGGTATATATGTAGGATTGTTCTTGTTTCCTTCGACTTTATTTACCAGAAAGCGTATTGTTAATGGAAATAGGACCTAATTTGATTAATTAATTAATACGAGCAGAATATTATATAAGAAATTTATAAATAATTGATGTTTAATTAAGATGTGTTTGATTACATGCAGAGCAAGAAAAAGCCAGCGTTCTTCTGGATAAATGCAATGGCACCTCTGACGTCTGTTATTCTAGGAAGCGTCCTTGTCTACTTCACTAATGCTGAGAAACATGGAGTCCAAGTGGTGACGCTCAGACTCAGACTCAGACTTACGCAAACGCAATACATTTAAATAATCTGATGAAACTTTTCTTTCAATTATCCTAGAATGAGAATTTTGAAAAAGTATTTTCTTATTGAAAACGGTACTTATGCAGATTGGACACTTGAAAAGGGGATTGAATCCACCATCAGTCTCGGAGTTGGCTCTAGGTTTTGGGTCACCGTATCTGACCACAGCTATTAAAACTGGAGTAATAACTGGTGTGATTGCTCTTGCTGTAAGTTATCTACTCAAGCTTCAATTATCATATGCTCCCCACTCTCTCTATTACACGTCAACATGTTTTGGCCTTGACCCCATTTCTTATTTTTGCCACCTACTCTTGTTTCTTGTTCACACGCTTTCTTTTCTTAATAAGTCAATCTACTTAACTTATATACATATAGATGATTTAGTCAATATAAGATTACCAGTAAGAAATCTCAGATTATGAGAATCAAAAACATCCAGAACTTACTTGCTTAGACAGAGATCAAATAACAACCCAAAAGAAAAATTCCTTACTTAATCGATGAATAAGATACAAAATAATTATTTAAAAAGTTGCCTAATTTTGGACTAATGATTGTTATAGTATATGAAAAGATTGAATTATTGTTTACTAAATGAGTTGGTCTGATATTTATAGGAAGGAATAGCAGTTGGGAGAAGTTTTGCCATGTTCAAGAACTATCACATAGATGGGAACAAAGAGATGATTGCCATTGGGATGATGAATATTGCTGGCTCTTGCACTTCTTGCTACTTAACAACAGGTATTGAATTTCAGCAGCGTTTAGAGTCCAACTTACATTTGGACCAAATTTAAATCTTATTTCAAATTCAATTATACGATCCGTTGCTCAGTCTAATACTAAACTTTTGACTGTGATCATGCAGGGCCATTTTCGAGGACAGCAGTGAATTTCAATGCAGGGTGCAAGAGTGCAGTGTCGAATATAGTAATGGCCACAGCTGTGATGTTGACATTGCTATTCCTAACGCCTTTGTTCCATTACACTCCTCTTGTTGTGCTTTCATCTATAATTATTTCTGCAATGCTTGGCCTAATTGACTATGAAGCTGCCCTTCACCTTTGGAAACTCGACAAATTTGACTTCATTGTATGCATGAGTGCATATGCCGGTGTGGTCTTTGGCAGTGTTGAGATTGGCTTAGTCGTTGCAGTAAGTTTATATTAACTTTGCCTAGCTAGCATTTATAATTTCGTCCGAGTCTTAAGCTTATTTATTTGATATGGTTTATTTTTCTGTGCAGGTTGCAATATCTTTACTGAGAGTGTTGCTCTCTGTAGCAAGGCCTAGAACATTTGTTTTAGGCAACATTCCCAACTCTGTAATCTATAGAAGTATCGATCAATACCCAGTTGCCAACAATGTTCCTGGAATGCTTATCCTTCAGATTGATTCATCAATCTATTTTGCCAATGCAAGCTACTTAAGAGAAAGGTACTTAAACAATAAATATGAGACCAATCCATTTCATTAATTCCAATGACTCCTGATCAAGACTAAATTAACAAGCATTCTAATTTCATTCTCAGGATTTCGAGATGGATTTATGAGGAGGAAGACAGAGTAAAGGTTTCAGGAGAAACCAGCTTACACTACGTCATAATAGATATGAGCAGTAAGTAATTATTTACAACAAATGCAAGAAAAAGAGAAAGGAATTAAAAAATATATTTTATTCTTCTCTGATTCTAAAAACATTTTAAATTACAGATGTTGGAAGCATTGATACAAGTGGAATCAGCATGCTTGAAGAAGTCAAGAAGACTATTGATAGAAGAGGTCTCAAGGTATACTTATAATCTCAGAATTATTTTCACTGGTCTAATTGATTAATATGCCTGTCAGTAATCTAATGCGTTGTTATGTTTCAGCTGGTGTTGGCGAACCCACGAAGCGAAGTGATCAAGAAGCTAGACAAGTCCAAGTTCGTTGAAAACATTGGACAGGAATGGATGTATTTGACAGTAGGAGAGGCTGTTGCCACATGCAATTTCATGCTACACACATGCAAATCATCATCAAACCCTGGACCTGAATATAACTCACAAGATAATATTGTCTAATTTACGGATCATGTAAACCTCTGAGAAGCACCATTCCTAATCTTATTCATCAAAGAGCAAGAATGAGATTGTTTTCAAGGCGCTTATAAGTCTTAAAACTTATGTAATACTATACACGCAATAAGATACTAGTTATTACTGCTGCTTTCATGAGAAATTGACTTATTCCCAATCCAGGTTGGATTGAATAGACACTCGTTTCAACTGTGAATTTTTTCAAAGAGGTTGGTTCTTGACTTCTTGTCAATCAACATTAAGACAAACATGATACAACTAAAAGGTTGAAGTTGCGACTTCCAAGCTAAACTTTGGTCTAACAAAAGATGAATTCTCAACAAATTCAGCGTTCCTACTCCCACTAATTTGAAAATTCGTCAACTCAGGAAAAATTAAGCTTCATATATGTTGTTCAATATTTAATATAACGACTTTCACCAACCAAATGGAGAAAAAAGAAGTGATCAAATGGGTTATATGAAGAATAAAGACACTATAATAGAGTATATCATAGTATAATTATGGATATACTCTATACTAACAGGCATGACCCAATATATAGGTTTTACCATGAGAAGGAGTGTCCCACACCGATTAGACATGCTCAAGCCTACTGATTTATAAGAGGGTGTAATCTTCCCATTCAACAAGGTCTTGTTGGGTGAGGAGTCAGACCCACCTCAAATTCTATCAAAAATCAATAGTGAAAATAGTTACTTGTCAATTAAGTTTCAACTTTCAACCACCACGGATGGTAACATTCACCAAGTTCAACAAAGTTGTTGAGGAACTTCACCAGGATGACGAACAAAAACTCAGGTCGACCCATATGAACAGTTTCTGGATGTTGCAAATAAAACCCAAGGTAGGAACGATGACTACAATAAACAAAATTTTCGTTTACAGCACCTCAAACTTCATCTTCTTTAATCTTCGCTCATGTCAGTTAAAGCCTTAAAGATAACAATCAACTCAGCGCATGACTTGTATTCATCAAGAGTGAAAAAACTTAATAAGACAAGTTTGAAATTGTTGACTTGTTCCAGTTTTGCTGAGAAAAATACAACGAACTGGTAAGGAAAACAATGTGAAAACAGAGTCTGACTTCAACCAACCCGTAAGGGTCAAATGGCATCAAACAGGATCCAGAAAGGGCTGAGACTTGTTTTGAATTATAGACGATGTAGGACCTCATTGCCTGACCCAGGTACAGGGTGGCCCGGGTGCTGATTGGGTAAGGTCTGCCGTCTGCAGTGAAGAGGAGGTGCAGGCTATGGCTGAAGGGTCCCCCTCGTTGCCACACTTAGAAGTTACATCTCCAACCGTAAGAATTTACCCTGGCTTGGCTCATCCCCACATCGTCCCTAGAGCCCTTCAATTTGAATCAGTTTGCTACTGATTTCATATTACAAGTTTTATGACTTATCTACTAATGACAAAAACCCATAAGTTTGATTCCCAAGATCAGAGCAATAATACAATACTCATACAAGAATGGAAATCATGGAATCCGGTCATCGATCATATATTGCAAAAAACAGATAACACAAATGGAGGTCCAAAACAAAATGCCCAATCTTGAGCATTCTCTGCATAAAATTTCAAAACAGTATTGTCGAGTATTAATGTATATGCCAACAAGTAACCAAGCACTGCACACAAATATGAGCAATACAGACCAAGAGTTACAAACACTTTCATCAATTTAAAAAGGGACCAAGCTCCCTTGCTACAAAAAATAAAAATAAAAATACAGGAATCAACTTTACAGTAAAGTATGTTGGCAAAAAGCAATTACTCAACAAGCCCAGCAAAATCTCCAGAGTTCAGAAGTGAGTGCAGGAATGGTATGCTAAGAGACCACTTTTCATCAAAATTAACACATCCACTTGAGGCCTTGCATACCAACACAAGTCAAAAGCAGGCACCCCGATGTTTACCACCATGTTTCACGATATATGCTACTCTCCTAGTTAAGTCTGTGCCAACCTTTTTCCTTTGTTAAGTACCAAACTAATACAAATGGCTATTACGAACCGGAAAGCTTCTCTTTGAATATACGTGGAAGCACTTCATGGGCACTGATGTCCAAAACCTCCGGGTCCCTGAAAAAGGATCCGCCAATTTAGGTTTCATTAATTTCAATTGAAAATAATTTACCACAAAAAAGAGCTATAATTGCTATGATGAGACCACTATTCTAATAACACGGTTTTGTTTGATATAATATTCAAGTACTATGAAGGTGAATAGAACAAGCAGAAGCTGAAATACTAGGATTTTTAACATATATATACAAGGAGCCAATCTCCAACACTACTGAAATTGAAATCTAATCGTAGTAGGATTTTATTTCGGTTTCATTCAGTAGAAAATAAATTGCCACAAAAAAGGAGCTATAATTGTTATCATAAGACAACTATTCAAATAACACGGTTTTGTTTGGTATACTATTTAAGTACTATAAAGGTGAATGGAATCAGCAGAAGTTGACATACTAGGATTTTTTAACATATATACATAAGGAGTCAATCTCCATCACTACTGAAAATGAAATCTAATAGTAGCTTTCTACCACTATAATGTAAATTTTCCCTTCTATCAATGAGCCAAAGGGGTCATCACTTAGTTTGGGACCAACAGGAAAAAGGAACCTTCACAAGATGGGTCAAACTTTAAAATTTCAAGAAGATATAATAAAAGCAATAAACACTCAACAGGCCAGCCAATCCATCCAGTCTAATCCAATCACGTGGAAATTACAGAAGTGAAAGAAGTTTCTCAATTGTCTCCTGTAATAAAATATTATCAATGTAAGCAAAGTCATAATATATGATTGCATAAGGCAGGTTGGCAGGTAATGTACTACTTTTGAGATATTCACCTTCAGATTAACTGCAGCTAGCCAGAATACTTGAATTTAAAGTTAAATTTATTTAAAAAAAAAAAAAGAACTCATAGCGAAAAGGATTATGTGCATATGAAGGAGCAAGAAACAGACCTGCACAATACTTGCCCCTTTTCATTGGAACTAGGTATAAACCATAGTTTTCGCACGAGGGGTGACTCAAATTGAACAAAGAAACCATCATGTTGCCCATGTTTCCACTTTCTTGATCCTTGACCTTTCCAAACCTGCAAAGAAATTACATCAATGACGATACCTTGTCCTAGAATGACCTTCTATTTCTCAACTGGAAAGTGTATATAATCACATATTAAAAAATACAAGTTGGTTTTGGAGAATTCGAACACCAGCTAGAACAATTCAAAGTTGAAGTATCCAACCAGCAGACTTGGTTCCATTTAAAATTAACCAACTAATTAGATATATACATACCTGCGGTCATCTAGATATAATTCTTTAACAAAGTTTATATAAGCAAATTTAAGTTTTTCCTATGCTTTAGAAAATATTTGAGTATTTATACAAATTGGTAGTGGATTGCACCACACAATTTAAGGCTTGCATTCCAACCCTGATTATAAACGGATTAGTTCAAGCAAAATTAACAGACTGTTGGCACATGAGTGAGGATGGTAATCAGGGTAGTAGCTCCCACATTAATTGGCAGGAACTATAACAAACACTGCATATAAACAACTGAAATCAACACTTTGGCACACTAAGGAAGCATTTATATGCCTACAAATTAAAGCTCATGTTTCCTGAGACACATTCACATTGACAAGTATCCACATCTTGATTATCAATAGGTTGCATTGTCAGTGTGATGTATAAAGAATGTAAATCCTCTTCTGGTCAAGAAGACTCTTAGCACATCAAAAACTAATAAGATAAGATATGTCACCTGAGGGTAAGATATATTTTTTCCTTTTCAATAAGCAATTCTGAAATGTTTTTATTTTTTTTTCAATCATGCTATTACCTAAATGATATGTCGTTCGGTATTTGAGAACATCTATAATATCATTTAGCATGGCAACTAACGTGAATATGCAACATAAAGAAACTAACAAAGCTGATTAATCACAATTCCATAATAAAGCAAAATAAATTCTAACCGTAGAATGCTCAAACTTTCAAACAAGTAAATATAAAATAAATCCTCTTCTGGTCAAGAAGACTCTTAGCAGATCAAAAACTAATAAGAAGATAAGATATGTAACCTGAGGGTAAGATATAATGCTTTTTGGTGCCACTAGGCAAGCTGCGCTAGAGAAAGAATCCTCAGCATACTGCCTTAGAAATGAAAAACAACTGCTGTGTGTATGCGGTGACTCAAACGCCTGGTACAGCAGAAAAGGAATCAAGAAAAGTAGAAAATTATATATATATATATATATATATATTTGTTTCCAATCAATATTTCAAAAGAAAATACTAAATTGTACAAACTGAAATTGATGGACCAAAGAGTGCCATGTATACGTTTAAATTATATGCTCAATAACAAGCTAATAGTTCAGAAAAATTAATTAATGCATTTAAACACAACTACAATCAGAAAGAGCGAGAGAGGTTATGAAGCCACATAAAGTAATAAGGTCATATAAAAAATCAGAAAGGAGAAAGCTATCAGGAGAAACAAACGCACGCAGATAAGTTGGTACCTTATCAATATTGACAGCTGGAGCATACTTCTCAGTGTCTGTCTTTTCTTTATCAAGAAGGAAATAGACTCTAGCATCCACTTTAGACGTTTCATGCCAAGACTTCACAGCTGTCTCCATTGTCTCAACAAGAAAAGAAAAGGCGTCCTTCCAACATTCTTCAGATCCATACTTCTCAGACTGCAAAGAGGAAGACCAACTTAATCCTCCTTACTGGGAAATGCTCAAAACAATTCTCTGAGGGTAAACTGCATTATACAGTTCAGAGAATCAGCAGACTTTCTGCTTGTGAGAAGGAAATATGGCAAAATAGACGTCCAGAAATTAGTCTGATGAATTACTCTCAGGAAATATGTCTTACACAGACAGAGGAGGCTATATATATATAGATATGTGCATGAATGTGTGTGTGCAGACTAAGATGGGATGTAAATAAAATATATCACAACTATGACTCTTGGCTGTAGAAGCAACACCCACCATTTCTGATTTCAAGGCATCCAAATGCTTCGCCATATCAACATTTGATCTCATATTCTCAACTTCTTGGGCTCGTTGTTTGTCTTTTGCCAACTGGGAAATCCTCTTGATCTTTCTTAATACTTCTGCACTCTGTCGATTGTATTGCAAAGCTGTCTGGAAGGCACTTAAAGCCTACAACATGTGAAAAGAAAAGACATTAGCAACAGGAAACAAAAACTAGTGTCTTGAGCAGAAGGCTGTCAAATAAATCAAAGGAGGAAGGAGCAAATTTTAAAACATACATCATCGTATCGTTCCATGGCCTCCAATATGCATCCTTTTCTGAAATAACCCTGAAGGTGCATCAAAATAATACTTGTTATGAAAGAGCTTAGAAGAACCAAGTACAATGAATACAAATCAAGAAACAAACACCTTTTCCCACTGGGGGTTCAATGTGATAGTCATCTCTGCATCAGCAAGTGCTTTGCTAAGCTTAACCAGTTGTAGAAATGCTGCAGCACGGTTGCTGACCAACAATAAAACATCATAATGGAGGAGATGCATTAATTCAACAATAAGACATCCTGCACTATGTGGCTGAAGTGAAACTACTGAAGAACTTAATAAATGAAAAGCATATAACAGTTGATTCTAAGTTGACAAACCAAAGCAGTGCAAGCATCAAGTATAAATTTAAATAACACATGTAACAACCCATGAAGGGGGAATTGCTCAAATTAACATTGTACTAAGATATTTAGATATAATTGTTAACTCAAACTCAACCATATAATTAAATGAATCATGCCAAAAATCTAGATATGAACAAAATATATCTATTAAACAATTAAAAAACGAAGACTTGAATAGTTTGTTAAACAATTAAGTCATTTTTAGTCAACATATAATTGATCCAATTTTAACGCACACAAATAGTTAAGTCATTCCACCACTAATTTTCTGGCGGATTTGATTCATGTCTCAATTTATAAAAAAATTCTCTAAAACAAAAAAAGTGCACTTCGTATATAAAATATATACTATTTTCCTTTTCAATAAGCAATTCTGAAATTATAATTTTTTCATCATGCTATTACCTAAATGATATGTCGTTCGGTATTTGAGAACATCTATAATATCATTTAGCATGGCAACTAAGGTCAATATGCAACATGAAGAAACTAACGAAGCTGATTAATCACAATTCCATAATAAAGCAAAATAAATTCTAACCTTAGAACGCTCAAACTTTCAAATAAGTAAATATAGGCAGCTCATATTCGCATCGATGCTACCAGGAAAAATCATGTTGCAGTGTTTGATTCAATAATTACAAGGCAAAGCCACACACACTGTGGTACTCATAAATACGGATTATTTTGTCCTTCAAGACAGTTTAATTTTGCGTGTTTTAATGAAATGTCAAATTCTATTAGGGTTTAGGAATAAAATGTTGGCCTTACATACATATTTTATACAGTCTATTTCACATTCATTTCTGAAAAACCATAGAAAAGAGCTTGAAGGAGAAATGCAAGAGGGAACTGCAAAAAACAAAAAAAAAAAAAAAAAAACCTGTAAAGAGTGGGATTAGAAGGGTCTTGTTTGATGGCCTGAGTGTAAAGAGCAGCTGCTTTGAGGTAGTTGCCTGCTTTGAAGAACTCGTTACCTTTATCTTTCAATGACATCTCCTCTGCTTCAGCCATAGTGTACCTGTTTCGTTGCTAGGGTTTATGGGAGATCTTTGAACTTTGGACCGTTCGCAGGGACGGAGGCTGCCTTTGATCTACTTCCAAGTTTTGAGAGTGATAAAGTGATGAATTTTTTTTAAATAATTTCCAAACTTTACTTAAATATTTAATTAGTTTAATTAATATTAAAGTAAAATAATAATCAACAAGGGGCTGTTTGTATCGGCGTGTACAAGATAATACGGTAATCTTCGTTTATTTTGCAAGATTTCAGTGTTTGATTTACAAGTAATAAAATATTAAGACAATTTTTTAGTGTAAATAATGTTTGTTATTGGTAATATAGGGAGTAATCTTATTATCTTGTTAGGGGATGTTATTAAAACATTACTGAGGTGATCTGATTTTTCTACTTACTTTGCCCTTAATTAAAAACCATTTCTGGCACAACTGCCCTCAAATGTCTACCGAATAGCAATACCCAGCCACCGTACATTTGAGAAATTAGCTAAAACACCCTAGCTACAAAAAAGTTTAAAAGTTAACAAAATACCCCCAACCACCCAAGATCACTGTCGACCGTGACTCACCACTGCCGGTCGCGACTATAATGATGCACGACCGGGGGGATTTGGTTGGTCGTGCGCTGGTAAGGCCTTTTCCAGCCATGGATCTCCTTTTCTCGACCATGGATTTGTAATCCATGGCCATTTCCGGCTTTGCCGGCGTTAGGTCGCTCATATACGACTAGTCGTACATCATTCCATTGACTGCTAGCGGTGGTGCCTGGCTGCGGGCAGTGGCTTGGAGTGGGTACGGGCGATTTTGCTCCAAATTAAAGTTTTATATGGCTGTGATGTTTTAGCAAAATTTCAAATGTAGGGAGTTAAAAAAAAGATTCAAAAAAATAATAAAAAAATATTATTTTATTAATATTTAAAAAGGAAGGCAATTTAGTAATCTATATAACATACTCACACATTTATCCTCCCAACCAAACATATTATTCATCAATTTATTCGAACCAACCAAACAAAATTCCTAAATATTCTCTGTAATATTTAAGATGGTCTTTCTTTCTGTTAATATAATATATCCCTATAATAAAACATTATATGATCCAAACGCCTCCTAAAAGTTAAAATTATAAGTGAACCAGTGAAGTACTAACATGCTAAGGATGGGCATGAGAGAGTTCTAGCAAACAGAATACAAATAAGTGTGACAGTAAAATATAATTCTCTAAACCCCAAGCTGTCGGGTTGGCAAAAAGCAATTACTCAACAAGCCCAGCAAAATCTCCAGAGTCAGAAGTGAGTGCAGGAATGGTATGCTAAGAGACCACTTTTCATCAAAATTAACAATCCACTTGAGGCCTTGCATACCAACACAAGTCAAAAGCAGGCACTCCGATGTTACCACCATGTTTCACGATATATGTACTCTCCGTAGTTAACTGTGCCAACTTTTCCTTTGTTAAGTACAAACTAATACAAATGGCTATTACGAACCGGAAAGCTTCTCTTTGAATACGTTGGAAGCACTTCTGGGCACTGATGTCCAAAACCTCCGGGTCCCTGAAAAAGGATCGCCAATTTAGGTTTCATTAATTTCAATTGAAATAATTTACACAAAAAAGAGGTATAATCTATGATGAGACCACTATTCTAATAACACGGTTTTGTTTGATATAATATTCAATACTAAGAAGGTGAATGAACGAAGCAATGACTGAATATAGGATTTTTAACATATATATACAAGGAGCCAATCTCCAACACTACTAAATTGAAATCTAATCGTAGTAGGATTTATTTAGGTTTTATTCAGTGAAAATAATTGCCACAAAAAAGGAGCTATAATTGTTATCATAAGAAACCATCAAATAACAAGGTTTGTTGGTTTATCTATTTAAGTACTATAAAGGTGAATGGAACAGCAGAAGTTGACATACTAGGATTTTTTAACATATATACATAAGGAGTCAATCTCTCACTACTGAAAATGAAATCTAATGTAGCTTTCTACCACTATAATGTAATTTTCCCTTATACATGAGCAAAGGGGTATCACTTAGTTTGGGACCAACAGGAAAAAGGAACCTTCACAAGATGGGTCAAACTTTAAAATTTCAAGAATATAATAAAAGCAATAAAACATCAAAAGGCCAGCCAATCATCCAGTCAATCCAATCACGTGGAAATTACAGGAGTGAAAGAAGTTTTCAATTGTCTCCGTAATAAAATATTATCAATGTAAGCAAAGTCATAATATATGATTGCATAAGGCAGGTTGGCAGGTAATGTTACTTTTGATATTCACCTTCAGATTAACTGCAGCTAGCCAGAAACTTGAATTTAAAGTTAAATTTATTTAAAAAAAAAAAAAAAACTCATAGCGAAAGGATTATGTGCATATGAAGGAGCAAGAAAGCACTGCACAATACTTGCTTTTCATTGGAACTAGGTATAAACCATAGTTTTCGCACGAGGGGTGACTCAAATTGAACAAGAAACCATCATGTTGCCCATGTTTCCACTTCTTGATCCTTGACCTTTCCAAACCTGCAAAGAAATTACATCAATGACGATACCTTGTCCTAGAATGACTTCTATTTCTCAACTGGAAAGTGTATATAATCACATATTAAAAAATACAAGGTGTTTTGGAGAATTCGAACACCAGCTAGAACAATCAAAGTTGAAGTATCCAACCAGCAGACGTGTTCCATTTAAAATTAACCAACTAATTAGATATTACATACCTGCGGTCATCTAGATATAATTCTTTACAAAGTTTATATAACAAATTTAAGTTTTTCCTATGCTTTAGAAAATTTCGAGTATTTAACAAATTGGTAGTGATTGCACCACACAATTTAAGGCTGCATTCAACCCTGATTATAAACGGATTAGTTCAAGCAAAATTAACAGACTGTTGGGCATGAGTGAGGATGGTAATCAGGGTAGTAGCTCCCACATTAATTGGCCGGAACTATAACAAACACGCAATAAAAACTGAAATCAACACTTTGGCACAATAAGGAAGCATTTATATGCCTACAAAATAAAGCTCCTGTTTCCTGAGACACATTACATTGACAAGTATCACATCTTGATTATCAATAGGTTGCATTGTCAGTGTGATGTATAAAGAATGTAAATCCTCTTTGGTCAAGAAGACCTTAGCACACAAAAACTAATAAGATAAGATATGCACCTGAGGGTAAGATATATTTTTTCCTTTTCAATAAGCAATTCTGAAATGTTTTTATTTTTTTTTTCAATCATGCTATTACCTAAATGATATGTCGTTCGGTATTGAGAACATCTTATATATCATAGCATGGCAACTAACGTGAATATGCAACATAAAGGAACTAACAAGCTGATTAATCACAATTCCATAATAAAGCAAAATAAATTCTAACCGTATGAATGCTAAACTTTCAAAATAGAAATATAAAATAAATCCCTTCTGGTCAAGAAGACTTTAGCAATCAAAAACTAATAAGAAGATAAGATATGTAACTGAGGGTAAGATATATGCTTTTTGGTGCCACAGGCCAGCTGCGCTAGAGAAAAATCCTCAGCATACTGCCTTAGAAATGAAAAACAACTGCGTGTGTATGGGTGACTCAAACGCCTGGACAGCAGAAAAGGAATCGAATCAATATATATATATATATATATATATTTGTTTCAATCAATATTTCAAAAGAAAATACTAAATTGTACAAACTGAAATTGATGGACCAAAGAGTGCCATGTATATGTTTTAATTATATGCTCAAACAAGCTAATAGTTCAGAAAAATTAATTAATGCATTTAAACACAACAACAATCAGAAAGAGCAGAGAGAGGTTATGAAGCCACTAAAGTAATAAGGTCATATAAAAAATCAGAAAGGAGGCTATCAGAGAGAAACAAACGCACGCAGATAAGTTGGTACTTATCAATATTGACACTGGAGCATACTTCTCAGTGTCTGTCTTTTCTTTATCAAGAAGGAAATAGAACTCTAGCATCACTTTAGAGTTTCATGCCAAGACTTCACAGCTGTCTCCATTGTCTCAACAAGAAAAGAAAAGGCTCCTTCCAACATTCTTCAGATCCATACTTCTCAGACTGCAAAGAGGAAGAACATTAAACCTCCTACTGGGAAATGCTCAAAACAATTCTCTGAGGGTAAACTGCATTATACAGTTCAGAGAATCAGCAGACTTTCGCTTGTGAGAAGGAAATATGGCAAAATAGACGTCCAGAAATTAGTCTGATGAAACTCTCAGGAAATATGTCTTACACAGACAGAGGAGGCTATATATATATATATGATATGTGCATGAATGTGTGTGTGCAGACTAAAGATGGATGTAAATAAATATATCACAACTATGACTCTTGGCTGTAGAAGCAACACCCACCATTTCTGATTCAAGGCATCCAAATGCTTCGCCATATCAACATTTGATTCATATTCTCAACTTTTGGGCGTTGTTTGTCTTTTGCCAACTGGGAAATCCTCTTGATCTTTCTTAATACTTTGCACTCTGTGGATTGTATTGCAAAGCTGTCTGGAAGGCACTTAAAGCCTAAAACATGTGAAAAGAAAAGAATTAGCAACAGAAACAAAAACTAGTGTCTTGAGCAGAAGGCTGTCAAATAAATCAAAGGAGGCAGGAGCAAATTTTAAAACATACATCATCGATCGTTCCATGGCCTCCAATATGCATCCTTTTCTGAAATAACCCTGAAGGTGCATCAAAATAATACTTGTTATGAAGAGCTTAGAAGAACCAAGTACAATGAATACAAATCAAGAAACAAACACCTTTTCCCACTGGGGGTACAATTGATCAAGTCTCTCATTGATGGTCATACCCTGGCCATCTTGAATCTCACCCAGCATCTCCTCTAACCGCGTCAATCGTTCCCTCACAGCATCCATGTCAACCTTTTTTGGCATGAAACAACAGTAAGTAAATACAAGAACGAACCTGGTTAAAACCGAGCTCTGATACCACTGTCACAGGGCCTATTTTTGCCTCTAGGCACTGCGCGGCACAAGCACACCGAGCACTTGTAAGCCTACCTCAAGTTGTGTGTTTCCCCTGTTA